AAAGAGAACCACTGAAACGTTCACCCCATTGACTTTACCAAGATTTACACGTTCATTTGAAAGAGGAACCTGTGTCTAACGGGCTCTATGAACGAGCATTTCCGTGTCACAATGCCCTTGACACATTGCACACTGGCTGCTCTGACTATTGGCACTCGTTCAGCATTCTACAAGATAACTAACCCTGCAAACTGTCGGGCTGGTGTAGACAGGATCCAGTGGGACCGTGTTTACTCACATCCCTTTGTGCCTTGGATCCTTTGGTGATTTTTGTGAGTCAATTTTGAACCAAGAAAAGGAATGAATTTCAGTACTTTGCAAAGGGACCATTTGCAGATGTTGGACCTAGAGGAAAATTTAAGGATACAACTCATTGATATCAAATAAATTTAAAAATAAATGAAACTGTGTTAACTGAGTAAAAATACTTTATTTGGAATACTAATGATTAATGTTTAAAAGGCATTTAAATAGTGCCCAACTTTGTGCAAGGCTTAGTATGGCAGGGGAAAAGGAAAACCAAAAATGGAACCTCACAGTTCCAGCTTTCCAAGGAGCTTACCATGGGGGAGAGGCACTTGTGCATAAATAATTCCAGGGAGTTCAAATAAGGGTAAGAAGGAAGCAAGCACTGAGGTACCCTTCCAGCCTCTGGCTTTAAACAAAATCCTGATGATATTATAAGGCTGCTGTAAAACCACATCGCAAAGCATAGGCCACACTCAGATCTTAACCAAATCTGGCGACAGGAAGCAAGTCACGTGGAAGAGGTTCCCTGGACAACGTTCCTACTGGGGTAGAGCCGGGACAGACATCTCAGGGCAATGAGCCACTCTACAGTCCTGGGCCAGTGGGTTTGCAGGTTGTAGACTGTCCTTTCAGTCTGAGCCACCAAAGCAGGATGACCAGGGGCGCGTAAAATTCCAAGCCCATGCCATGGTCATTGGGGGGATGTGCACCCTGAGCTTTGCACCCAGTAGCCATTCTAAAACTGTCATTCACTGACTGACACTCGAGTATCCGTACTGTCATATGTGAGAGAAAGGTGAATGGATTGTACGTAAAAGTTCTTGGAATTATTGTTCAAGGCCAATACCTTGAAATGCCCTGGGGACAGCGTACAATTTATATTCATGAAGCTGATTAGAGAAATCTTATCTTGAAAGGAATTATGACTTATGATAAGCATGTTGCAGCACATGCTTGCCATTCCCTAATCAATAGACGATGCTGTAGAATACGAACATAATTTTTAAATACACTTCTTTTTTCAAACAATAAGATAATGCATCTATGGGTGCTTTTATGAATGGAAACATTATTCAACGATAGACACTATTATTATCATAAGTAATGAAATATAGTCATTATTATTAAAAACTGACCATACTGGAAATCTTTTTTAAAGCATTTGTGTGACAAAGAAACTGTAATAGAAGTGGGGATATCAGCCTTCTGCAATTAAACATAAATAAAAATGCTCAAAATGCTTTGACTATGAGATGTTTTCTTCACAGCAGTGGCTGTTGACCAGAGAAGCCCATCAGAGTCAGCTGGGGAAGTGTGTGGAGGAGGTGGGAAGAGACTGAGCCCGTAACCATCCTAGCTCTTTACTATTTGAAAGTAGTAGAGCTGAGAAGTGCTTGATGACGCTGAGTACAAGTTGTCAGTCTTTGAGAATGTTCTATGGCAGATCTCTGCCTTGAAATGCATCACATCCCTACAATTTTAAAAGTCATGTTGCTCTTGATATTTTTTGTAAGCAGGTACCTGTGTATAATTGAGCCACACTGACACCTCAGAGATTGGAGTATTTTGCTTACCTGGCATTCATAGATTATGACCAGTGTCTGTAAGGTGATCACATTTCCTGAGCCAAAAGGCAGGACTTAGGGTCAAAATGCAAAACTGAATTTTAAGTGAGGGCTGTACTAGAAATCATTGACCATGTGCTTATACCCCCCCCCCCCCCATCACCTTTCTTTCTGGAGCAATCTATGCAAACTCAGCCATGACAGGCCCTCACCAGGAATCCAATGATGGGTTTTTCCTGCTCTTGCTTGAGAATAATGGAGTTGAGAAATACTGTGTGACCCTCCCAAACTCCTGCGCACACCCTGCCCTCACTTGGGGAAACACCTTTCAAAACTGTGTATCACTGCCCTGTGCCTTTCACCGTCTGCTCGGCATCCTTGTTCCACCATCTGTACTCATCTGTAATTTCCCTCTTCCTTTTCTTCTGTCTTTGGCCTCTTCTTCATGATTCCTTATTCTCTGCCTCAAAACATTCTAAAGCTATTCTAAATATTAAACCACATCAAACAAAACAAACAGATCCATGCCTCCTAGTAACCGGATCATTCTGTAGGATCCAAACCCTATTTATACAACCTTCACTGCCTACTTTCCTGAAATAATGAACAACATTCCCTTACCATAAGTATATTTCTTAACCCAAATACAGTCTGTTTTCTGTTTCCCCAGCCCTGGATGAACTACTCACTTAGGGTCAGCAGAGACCTTCTAACTGTCAGGTCATGGGCCCTCTTTTTAGTCTTTGTCGTACCATCCTGCTCAGCACTTGACCAAGTAGACCAGCAGTGCCCCCAACTTTAGTCTGCATGCAACTCATCTGGAGTGCTTATTAAAAATGCAAATCCACTGGCCACAAGCACTGAGTTTCTGATTCGGGTTGGGACCTAGGAATCTGCATTTATAAGAAGCAAACCAGGTGAATAGGATGGAGGAGACATTCGGCTCACACTTTAACCAACACTTCTTTTTTTATCAACCAACACTTCTTTTTTTATCGAATATATTTGACATATTGTGTAGATTTAAGGTACACAACATGTTACTTTGATATATTTATATTTTGTAATGTGATTGCCATTGGAGCGATATCTATCATGTCGCATAATCATAGTACAATACTGTTGGCCATATTCATTATACTGTGCATTGGATCTTTACGGCTTGTACTATTTATTGCAAGTTTGTACCCTTAAACAATGTACAATCTTATCACCCCACCAAGCTTTCTTCTTGAAACTTTTCCTGCCTTTAGTTTCATGCTACACTTTCCTGGTTCCCCTCCTTCCTTTCTGATTACCTTTTCTTTGTCTGTGATTCCTCCTTCTTTAACCATGTATTAAAATGTATTCTCCTTAGTCCACACCCTTTCTTTCATAGGGTTTCAACTCTGTGCTAACAGCACCTAACCCAATGCAATCAACTCTGTCCTCTCCTCTGGACCGAAGAACTGTATTTCCACACATGCCTACTCGATCCTCCGACTCATTGTATCCCAAGCTTAATGCACCACGAATCCCAAGGACTCGCTCCTCATCTTATATGCTCTGAGGTGGCAGCATCCACCTACTCACCCAACTGGAAAGCGCATCATTTTTAACGCCTCTGCCTCACATCATGCCAATTCGTGCATTTAGCCATCCAGCCCTCGCCTCGATCCGCACTGTTTCCCAAGTGTAGGCTTTCATGGAAGTTGTTTGGACTGTTCTGTTTACTTCTTCAACAGGCTCTCACAATAGCCTTACTTCAAACTTCCATGTACTCAAAATGAGAAACTGATCTTATCACTCCTTTGCTAGTAAATCTTGGCAATGTTCCTATTTATCTTTAACACTGCATCCAAAACCATTCTCGTGTATCTGCAGGATCTTTATAATCTTCCTCCAGTCTACCCGTCAGCCTTATCACTTACCGCTTCGTCATCTCTTCTGCTTTCCCGTCCTCTCTACCCGCCATCGACCTGGCATTACAACACCCTTTGCCCTCAAAACCTCTGCTTTTCTTCTTTATGTTTCATAGTCCAGAAATGTTCTGCTTGGCTTTTAGCCACCTCTCAAGATGCAGCACAAATGTTATTTCCTCACTTCTCCTGTTTCCTCAAAGCCTAAGCTCCTCAGTGACCAGGACAAAACTGTAGCCATCACTGTGTTTCCATCATGCAGACCATGACTACCTAGCACCATCAATGTCTGTAGAAGGAATAAAGGCGTGAACAATGGTGAATGGACGAATGAATGATTACCCGAATGATGGCCAGAGAGTTGACCACTCCTTATGTATTAGTCAGAGACTTGATTCATTTCTTTACTTTAGTTCTTACCACACTGCGTGACATTTCATTTTTTGTAAGCCCAGATTTCCAGTCAGATTGGATATTTCATTAGGAAAACAAGTCTTGCTTATTTTCTCTGCCCGACATCTTACACGTAAGGTTCTTACACATGATTGCTACATAAATGGCAGCCTTAAACAAATAGGTGTGTACTCCTTCCTGGAAAGAATGAGAAAACATTTTTTAAGCATGCTGTGTAGTGCATACTGGACTGAAGCAGGCCTGCAGGTGGAGGAGTGGGTCATGGTCGGGCTTGCACTGCCCTGGGTCTTACCTTCTAACAGGTCCTCAGTTACCTTTACTGTGGTCTGGCTTTGGTCAAACGCAGGTTGTGAAGTTCAGTGCTCGCTCCCTGATAGTTTACCTTAAGTGTGCTTCCTGCTTTTAACTGAGTCTCTGCCACAACAGTGCTGAAATGCATCCCACTGGAGCTGAATTGATCAAAACTGTGGATTTATTATCTGGTCTGGGGACAAATCATTGGAAATGTTAATTTTTTTCTCCCAGGTACTCTTCATAGCAGTATAAATTAGTATGAGGTTTCTATCCCAGTTATCAGATTACAGCTGTGGTTGAATATAATCGGAGCTAATATGTATTAAATATTTCCCATGTTCCCTGCGTTGTTCGACTGTTAAGTCTCACACGTACTCCTACCTCATCTCCGTTTTATAGATGAGGAAACAGACACAGAAGGTCGCCACCACGGCCCAAAGTCCCCCAGCCAGCAGGTGGCTGAGCCCGGATGCGCTTTGGCTTTGGGCACTGTGGGTTGAGACCCAGAGCTCACTTCTGCTCAGGAGGGAGACATGAGCGGGGCCTTTCATTGAAGCCGATGCCTCCCCTCTGCCCACAGGGTGAAAAAGCTGAAGGAGACGCTGGTCGCTGTACAGCAGCTGGATAAGAACATGAGCAGCCTGAGGACGTGGCTGGCTCGCATCGAGTCCGAGCTGGCCAAGCCCATCGTCTATGAGTCCTGTGACTCGGAAGAAATACAGAGAAAGCTGAGCGAGCAGCAGGTAACGCTTAGAACAGCTGAAGAGGGAGAATAGGCTATTGACTGTCTGTCCTCCTGGCCGGGATAGAGGGGTGGGTGTGAGATGGTGGATTCGGGTGGGAAATCAGGAGGAAGAAAGCAGGATTAGGGACAGAGGGGAGGCCTTGGCGGGGCGGGTGTTTGGGGCAAATGGGTTCCCTGTCACCACAGAGTTGACTCTTAAGAAGATAGGCCATCACAGGGTCAGTGTTGTTGGCCCACCAAGAAGCCATCCTAAAACGGTAGGTTAGGCTGAGCTGCGATGGTGTATCTAAAGAAGAGCTGACAGTTTTGTTTACTTATTTGTGGATCACTAGCCCACTACCGTAGACTTAGAAAGGAGCCATTTTCCCTCCTGCATTTAGTAGTGTTTGGAGAAAGACTACAGTGCATACTGAGAGATTTTAGAGTCTCAGATCATTTTGTTTTGCAAGGAGGATTCCATCACCTGCGGACCCCACACTGTAATTTCACCTTCATGTGTGTAGCAAAGTCATCACACTAGTACACAATACACAACCCAACAAAGCAAAAGAGAGGGTGACCCTGAAAAATGCATAAGGGCGGAGGGGTGGGGATTTTCACCTCCCACTCCCCTTGCTTGTTTTTACTAAACATAGCAGACTCCAGTTGTCAGTACTAAGCACCATAAATCCCCTGAAGGAGTACTGCTGCTTCGTGCCTTTCGATTGTCCTTGAAAATTCTCTCCACACTCTGGTGACTTTCGTTGTATGCAGGCCATGATAGCCAAGTTGCTTTACTTGAAAAGATTTAAAAAAAGAATATATAACAGGCCTATTTCTGCAATCCTATGAAAAAGTTCATATACTTACTTTATTTTACAAACATTTAAACCAATGACAATAGTTATTAAATACATTTTTGGGATGTTGGGTTTACTTTGATATTTAAATTAGCATTTCTTTTCTTCAATTTTTGTAAGATTAAAACACTCTAATGGACTCTCTGATATCTGAATTCTGATATTGAATTCTGGGGTCATGGTTGGCCTCCAGTTTCCCAAATTCTCCTGGAGAACATGGAGATGATAGCAACATGTGAGAAGAGTTAAAATCTAATGACCCATATTGTAATTTAGTGAATGTAAGACAATCAAAACAATGTCTAGTTAAACATGGCAAATTGATCATTTGCATTTATAGCCCACCCACTACTAAAGCCCTAATAAAATAATAGCAAAGGGGAAGAAAAGGTAAAAACTCACAACAACAAACAGAACAGGGGACAAGATGCTAGAGATGACAGACATCCTATAGAATTTTGGAAGACAGAAAGTGGATAGATGAATAGCAATGCTGTTAGCAGACGGACGAGGGAGAAAGCTGACTCCTGCCACAGCGTCCAAGAAGGCTCAGGAAGTGGAGGTATCAAGTCTGCAGGGCTTTACGATGGAAGATTGCTTGAAAGTTTGACTAACGAGCGCTTACACTGCTGATCCCCCCCCAAACCCAGCTAATCGGGCAACTCCGCTTTGCTTTCTCCAGGGGAAGACCAGAGGGTTAGTCTCTGGAGCGTGCAGACCAGAGGGCCTTTGGATATGGGGGTACAGGACACCATCGAGCCTGGAGCCATTAAATGAAAAATAGAGAGATTAAGTGAAAGGCTCTGTATGGAAAGGTGTGACTCCTGCCCCCCTGCACCAGCTCCCTCAGTGTCACCAGCCAGGTTTATGCTGCAGCCAAGATTTATACAAGAGTCTCAAATTCCAGTTCAGTTATTCTTTAGAAGTCCCCCCAGAAAGAATCAAGAAAATGGAGAGGAAGAAATGATCAAAGTAGTAATATGAAAGTAGTAACGTAAATTTTTAAAAATGTCTAAAATTCAGAAATCAAGAAATAGCAACATAAACATGTTACTTGGAAACATAGAACTAAAAACCAGAGGACAGAGCTATGAGAAATGAAAATAGTTGTTTCAGGGTGCTATTCATTAAAAGCTTAATAGTAGTTTTTGAATTTTAAATATATTATGTTCATGTTGCCTATTAACTAAATTTTAAAGTTAAAAAAAAAAAAGAACATATACCAGTGGTTAAAAGCAAAACTTCCTGGGTTTAAATCCTGGCTTCACCATTTTTCTGCATGACCTGTGGCAAAGTAATGAACTATTTTAACCCTCAGATTCCTTATGCATAGGATGTGTAAGAATCCTTTATATACAGAATCAGAGTACATGGCTCCTTGTGTTACTGTGAAAGTTAACGAGAAAAGCACTTAGCACAGCACCTAGCACAAAGTGCATGCTTAAATTTTATTTTAATCATGCCGTATTTACTACAGTTTCCTTTGTGGAAAATGCTTGACCATGATTCTATCAAAATTGTAGCATTTGGGTCCATGTTGTAAAAGACAAATAATAATCTGTCTCTACAGGGGAAAAATTCTGACAAATATTTAAATAGACAGATTAAATTGAAAAGAAATGCATTTTCTTCCATTTCCCTGTGTGGAGTTTCTGTATGTTTCTCTTGCCAATGTACTTAATTATTATAGACTTAATTAGGCAGAACTATATGTAGACTTGACATGGCTTCAGAGAACATTTTGTCAAATTTCCTTGTGTTATAGCTGAAGAAGAATAAATGCAGAGACACTATGTGACAATTTGAGACCATTACCAGTGGAGGTTAAAGCTAAGACTAAAATGTTTGTCTGTATCAGGGCACTTATATATAATTATGAAACCCCCTCAAGCCTTATTTCATATATTGATTTTAACAAAAACTTTCGAGCAGAAGCACAAGGGGATTTTTCTCCAGTATTTACTGTGGGAACTTGGTCAAGCTTCTAGGGGTAACACTCACAAAATTGTGTCCCCCACCCCCATGACTGGGTCCCCTGGAATTTTTAGCTGTCAGAGTTGTCCACACTGCGCCTTCAGCCATCCATCAATTACAGTTCTGGTTTTCATACCCCAGCAATGACTCCCACAAGGGCTCCTCTCATGACTCTGCTCCGAGATAAATTTAAAAGTATATGGAGGAGTGATGTCACCAAGATGGCAACAGAGGTTGTTTCTTTTTTTTTCTTTTTCTTTTTTTTTAAGATTTTATTGGGGAATTGGGGGAGGGGAACAGCGTTGAGGAATTGGGGAAGGGGAACAGACAAGTTGCTGTCGTTTTGTTCTTCAGTCTAGTTGTGGAGGACGTTGCTTCACTGGCCCATGTTGGCATCATCATTGCGCTCTTCCTGGGCGAGGCAGATCAGTCGCTGGCCTCTGGACGGCCACTCATGGTCGCTCTTGGCAGCTCACGCTGGCTGCCAGCTGTTCACGCTGGCTGCTGGCCACTCACGGTAGCTTACGGCAGCCCCACTGCAGCAGGGGCTGCAGCCTACGCCGTTGCCGGCGACTCACTGCAGCCCAGCTCCAGTGCAGCTGAGCTGTTGTTCAGCATCTTAGCTGTAGAGGGCGCAGCATCACTGGCCCTCGTGTGGGGTCCAAACCGGGGCCCTCTGGCATCCCAAGCCAGTTCTTAACCAGTGCACCACTCGGCCGGCCCCCAGAAGTTGTTTCTAACTTAAGTCCCCCTCACAAGAAGACCAACAAGCAACTATCCATAAACAAGACACCACTGTGAAAATCCCAGAATCCGGGAGTATAGCTAAAGCACTTCCCTGGACCACAGAGGCCAGAAGGATAGAATTAGAAGGGTAAGAGGAGTGGCTGCACGCTGACCGCATTGCCCTTCCCCAGGCTGGCACAGCGTTGCACCAAGAGGCCCCTGGGCCTACAGTATTGCACAGAGAGGGCTCCTTGGTCTGTGGTTTCTCCAGGGGGGAAAAGAGAGGCCCAGGTGGTCGTCCAGCTCCCCAGCATTGTGGGACATTTCCCAGGAGGCTTACTTGGGTCTCGACTGATGGGGATCACTAGGGGAGTCTGTGGGACTCGACCACCGGGGATCAGATAGAAATGGAGAAGAGGGGTGGGGCTTATGGCAACCAGCACTCAGATCTTGGCAGACTGCATTCCTGCTTGCAGCTGCATCCGAGCAGAGATCCCAGCCAGCCTCTTTGCCCATCAGCAGAGCCCAGCCAGTGGCCCCAGCTGGCCTCAGAGCTCAGTTGGCAGTTCTGCCTGATTTGGGTCTGCAGACAACAGGCCACACTGGCCTTGGAGTCCTTCCTGCCACCCTGCCTGGGCAGGGAAATAAATTCCCAGCCCTGCCCAACAGCTGAGCATAGCTTCTATCCGGCCCTACTGGGAAGCCTGGCCAGAGAACCCAGGCAGCTGTGGAGTCCATTCAGTAGCCCTTCTTGGGCAGGGCGCCAAGCCAGTAGCCCTACTTGACTGTTGAGCGTAGCCTCTGGCCTCACATAACCAGGAAGCCTGAACTGTTACCCTGGGCTGCCTCAGAGTCCAGGTGCCACCCCACCCAGCCATGGAGTCCAGACTACAACCCCACTCAACAGTGGAGTCCAACCTAGGACCTTACCTGATTACCAAACACAGTCTGCAACCTTGCCCAGTCAGGGAGCCCAGCCAGTGACCCTGCCCAGTCACCGAGCATAGCCTACAGCCCCACCGGGCAAGAAAGCCTGGACAGTGACCCAGCTTCACCATGAAGCACAATCTGTAGCCTCACCCACTATGGGATGTAGCTAGAGGACCCTCCTGACCAGAGCCTGGACAACGACCTTGCCCAACAGGGGAGCACAGCCAGTGGCCTACCTGATGACGAAGCCCAGATTATGGCCTCCAAACCCAGAGCACAGCCTGACACCCAGTCCAACTGCAAAGCCTGCCTGTGGCCCACCCAGAGTCCAGCCAGCAGTATTATCTGGTCCAGGAGTACAACCTGAAACCCCACCCAGCCTGTAGCCCTGCTCAGTCACAGAGTCCAACCAGCAGCACGGCCTTCAAGGAACACAGCCTGTGACCTTGCCCAACCAGAGGTGATCACAGAGCCTGGAAGTGACACCACATCCCCACCTCAAAATACAGAACATTTTCCAGGATAGATT